TCTATATGATAATGTTAATTGCCTCGTTTCATAGGACTCCTATGATAGGAGTCTCCAACTCCAGTTGAAAACCAAATTGAACTGAAACTGATAGTCACTTTGAACTGAGTCAATTAACGAACTTTATAAACGGAACACTATACAAGAAAGATGCAATTTAGCACCGACACACGCTGCTTGTTTGATGCCAGTTCTTTAGCCATAGGAGTGGTTCTGACAACCGCTGATGATATGGACCATAATATGGTCACCATATCATATGGTCTTCTATGACTATTGTGCGAACTCCAGAATCTTCTATCGATCCTGGCAGTCGATTATCTGCTCATGTCAATATTCGTGAGCTTGATGCCTTCTTGAAGGCGGTAGAGGTAGCCGTTGAGTATGAGTACGTCAAGGTGACGTCGTCAACGTCCACCTCATAACTGATTCCAAATCCGAGTATGCGTAGGTTACGAAGTTGCTAGCTCACAAGAAGATATCGGTTCACGGTTTTCACAAACCATTGATAGTGCGAAGGCTCGAGCTGCTGAGAAGACTGATGTCTGAGTTTTGACTGCAACTGGCTATAAGGCGGGTGAAATCTGAGGACAATCTTGCAGACAGCTTAGCCAGATACCCCAAGGCCTTCCGCAGTATTACTCAACCGGCAGTGACTTGGCACTGACTGGCATTTGGAATTGCTCATCTGAATCATACAAAGGATCTGAAGCGTCGTGGTGTCCCTCTCTACGAGACCTACAGGCTGCAACAGAAGGAGGCATCCCTGAAACTGACATCTCTGCATTGACCTGTGACTCAGATTTAGGGCTATACTATCATTGAAATCGATTCCATGTACCGCCGAACTTACGTTCTCAAAACATTTTGGGGGCACATGAAGAGACCGTTCATGGGGTGGTATCACTCCTAACCTGCCATTCGATCTGACGTTGAACGTGAGCTTTGTCGTCTTATTACACCACCGTATCAAGCTGCTGCGGCCCTACGTGATCGCTATCTGAGGCAGGGTGAATCCGTGGACTCTCTTTTGTATGAATTAAATAAGCTGTATTTTGAGGCTCACTTTGTCGCTCCGGACTTGTCTGCCCCAAGTAAACTTCCGGACTTCAACGACCTCATCAAGATGGATGCCTCGGCCAGCTATCACCGAGATATGATACTCAAGGTTCTCGACGCCCTTCCCCCTACTATATCTTCGAGGTTGCGTGTGATGAAGTTCACCGATGTGGATGAATTGGCGTATCAAGCCAGGATAGAACTGGCAACTCAGTCGTATGATACTCGGCGATATTCTCCTGAAGATGTGCCTGGCCCCCTTGAGGCCACCGCGAGCCCTGTCGTTCACCAAGATCAGGTTGAAGGTGAGCTAGCTGCTCTCCGTGAGCAGGTAGCCGCGCTTACTCAAGCACATTTTAATCAAGGCCAGCGGCCAACAAGAAGGCATCGTGAAAACAACCAGAATAAGTCCGGTGACTCCCGTCTGCCTGGTCGAAAGTGGTGCATTTACCATCGAGCTTCTACACATTGGACTTCTGACTGTAAGGCTATTGCACGACTGGCGGAAAAAAGAGAGTTGGAGAAGGATGACGATAATACTAGCACCAAGCAGTTGACCCCAAATGGGGAGAGGGCGGCGGCTCTGATCGCTCCGTCGTCCTCCGAAGAGTGTCTACGCGATCAGGATTCGTTGATGTCGGACCAATAAGTTGTTCTTGTTTAATTGATACTGGTGCGTCTAGCTCCTTTATTGATAGTCGGTTTGTGATGGGCTTGCCTTTGAGCCGATTTCTCATACGGCTTCCGAAGCTTATGATCTTTTCAACTCCCTCCACGAAACTAAATGTGGATGAAAAATTGGTACTGTCGTTCAATTTTTCGGGTGATTCTGACCATGCGTTTGATCAGACTTCTTACATCATGAACCTGGGTTCCTTACCACATTGTATACTCGGTCATGATTTCCTTACTAAATATTCAGTTACCTTGCATTTGAAGAAGGAGTGTCCTCAGGGTGGTATTTTATCCTTTTCAAAGATAAATGATATCTCAAAAAATAGTTCATGCTGTCCAAAGGCTTTTCGTCCCACTCTCTCAGGATTCTACAACCCTAGCTTCGGGTTCTAATACTACTACATCCACTTCTACCACAAGAGAAGAGACAGCATTGAATAAGTCGGGTCTATCCAAGAAGGCTAAGGAGCTCATATGTGACTGGAGACCGCTAAGATCAAGCCCTGGTTCTGCTTCTCAGTTTCGAGTTCGCCAACTTCTACCTGCTGAGGTCAAAGATACTGACCAGCAGGAGGTCACATGTGAAATTAAGTGGTCCGATTCTTCTACTCCATCATCATCAACGCCGTTTCCTTCGGACTACTCTGAGGCTCTACTTCACCAGCTCAACAAACAAGAACGAGGCTTGTATATTGGTCGGAAATATATTCATACTTATCTAAAGGGTGGTGGCAAGAAGTCTCACGCGACCAGATTCCTCAGGGTTCTCCCGTGGCCGTCTGTTTTCCTATTAAACAGCCGGGCCATTCTACTCCCGTGCGGCCTGTCATCGATCTGAAGGCCTTCAATGGAGCAATAGGGGTCCCATCATCGTATTTGGGATTATCAACTGGTGAAATTCTATCAAGGGTCCGAAGTCATTTTCATAAAGGTGATGAATTGGTTGTATTGGATCTATCTAAGTGCTATTATCGGTTTAGAACAGTTAAACCGCTGTTTGTGAGGGTCGCAGGTCGTTTCTTCCGTGCTCAAAGGATGCTTTTTGGCTTGGTATGTGGTCCAGCTTGCTTAGAAGAAGCAACTCACCACTTTGACTCGGTAATCGCGAAATCATCTTTGAAGGCCGACCTGTCGTATCATGCCTGGTATTACGATGACCTCTCGTTGATAGGTAGAGGACTTTCCCCTTATGTTGAAGAGTTAGCATGTCATGCGAATGTGTTAGGTTGGGAATTTCCACCTAATAAACGTTCTCGCTTGCGTCATGTGTCAGAATGCCAGGCTTTTAACCATGCGTTCAAAGCCCGTGCTATGGCTGACGCTCACTAATGCTATATTGGCGACTACCTATTTGCAAGCGGAAAAAGGTAAATACGGCTTTGAACCGGAATTTAGTAAGGGGACAAGTTCTTCCCCATCTATCTGTTCACCTCAGGTGGCTGATGTGAGTCGGTCTTCTCAGTGTTCAGGTACTCAAGTAGAAGACAAGGACGGCCAGGGCCCCTATAAGCCATTCTTGTCAACTACAGCCGATCAACCTGGGGACGCTCAGGGAGACGGTAAAAAAATATAGGGATAGGGGGGATAGGGTTACCAATAAGGATTACCCCGAAGACGGCAATGCTGATCAACGCGGGCAACAGAGACTCCATAACGCCTCTGACAATAAGCAGGAGGGTAAGGAAGGGTACGAAGAAGATAAGGTGAACGATGAAAACAAGACGGATACTGCAAATGATAAGAGGAGATATGGAGAGAGTGGAAAGCGATACGACCCCTATGATGGGAGCTCTGGAAGTGGGAGTGATAGATCGAGAAGGGATAAGTATGGTGGAAGGAGAAGTAGAAGTCTTCTACTAGAAGAAGAAGATCCCCCTTCGAGCGACCCGACATCCT